GCACCACATAGACAAGAAGGGGGCCCTATAGGGTGCTAAGGGAACAGAGAATACACCTATTTAATTTAGTCTAGAAGCCAAGAAAGGCCTTCTGAGGAGGGAAGGATTAGTAGTCGTTTAAAATTGTATTACAAACTCCACAGAATATCCAACTTATTTCTTTTTACTAGATTTCTGGCATGATAGTTTCTCCAAAGACACATTCTCTGATCGTAGTTAGATCTACAAGAAATCTGCCCTTTAGCAAGTAAACAAAAGCGATAGGAAGCCAGAGCAAGAAGACAGGAAGTTACACGCACATCTTAGGCTGCCGTGCTTTTCCTCTGGCAAATTTCTGGGTCTGTTTTTATTTTTTATTTTTTTTAACATTTATTCATTTTTAAGAGACAGAGACAGAACGTGAGTGGGGGAAGGGCAGAGACAGAGGGAGACACAGAATCTGAAACAGGTTCCAGGCTCTGAGCTTGGGGTGGGGGGAGGGGGAGCCTGAACCCATGTACTGCGAGATCATGACCTGAGCTGAAGTTGGACACCTAACTGACTGAGCCACCCAGGCGCCTGTTTTTTTTTTTTTTTTCTTAATGTATTTTGTCTTGGTAGGTTATTTGGAAATTCTGATATTTTCCAACATGTTTTGCGAGGGAATATATGGGAGAGAAGAGGGGTAGTTGCTGCTCAGTGACTGAGCCAATGAGCTGTGAGGATCCTACTTTTCTGCTCCCTGAAAACAAACCATTACATGGATGAGAACAATGAAAAGCATTTCTTAAACTGGTTCCTACATTTTAGAGAATGTAATCATCAGCCATCTTTTGGGGGCATGGGAAGAGATGGCCTTCTAAAGAATAAGGTGCTTTGTTTCCATGTAATACTAATAATTATAAATCACAGTGACAGTAGCTAGTGTTGTCACCATGTCAAACACTGCAGGAGGTATCCAACTCTGTTCTTAGGCACTCGCGTTTTTCCCCAGGACAACTTCTGAGGTAAGAACTCTTTCTTATTTTTTATGTTTAAGTAATCTTGACACACAGCGTGGGGCCTGAACCTACAACCCTGAGCTGCAGAGTCGCACGCTCCCCCGACTGAGCGAGCCAGGTACCCCCTGAGGTAAGAACTCTCTTAATCTCCGCTTTAGAGGTTAAGGCTCTGAGGCGTGAACCTGTTGATGCAACTCATGTGACGTCACAGAGCTTTCCAGTGCAGAGTTGGGATTTGAACCGTGGCAGTGTGGTCCCAGAGCTCATGTTCTGGACCATTCAACTGCCCTGTCTTGTTGGGGACAAATGTCCAGCCTCGGCTAAGGAAGAAGCTGAGAAATTACCATTAAGCTTTCTTAATTAATGGAAACACAAACACAAGTCAACATCTAGAACTAACCACATTACCGGTGTGACTAGCACACTAGTCAGAATGAGCGTTTGGACCTATTCTCCGGTGAGAAAGACCTTCAGGGAGAAAGTGCAAGGTGATGCAAGAATCCTAGGGCTCTGACATTCTCAGAAAGCTGGACACAGTCCTGGGCATTTAGATCTGTCACGATCATTCCCCATGATCCAATCTTTAAGACTCAGACAGGTTAGATAACTCACTGTCCCAGGCAGTGGAGATTAGAGAATTATTAACGTGAGCAGTGCCTTAAGAATTCCCTCAAGGGTTTTTCCAGAACTGCTCTCCTTTTTCTTGAGAGAGACAGAGAGAGAGAGAGAGAGAGAGAGAGAGAGAGAGAGAGAGGAGAGGGGCAGAGGGGGCAGGGAGAGAATCCCAAGCAGGCTTTTTAAAAAAAAATTTTGCCGAGTGTGGAACAGGGTTGGCGCTGAGCGAGCCCGATGCAGGGCTCAATCCCACGGCCCTGAAATCATGACCTGAGCCAAAATCAAGAGGCAGATGCACAACTGACTGAACCACCCAGGTGCCCCAGAGCTGCTGTCCTTTGTGGATGCATTACCTAAAAACATCACGTGGTCCGTAGGTTCCAGAAACCTGGCCTCCTGCATCTGCCTCTGAAAGGCTGACAATGTGCCCAGAGGCCCTATACTAATGAAACCTGGCTGACATTTAGAGCCCAATATTGCAGAAATCTGTTTGATTACGGAGCTCTTTGTTTCCTAGAACGCCTTCGGGATGGCCTGTAAAAACGAGTGCCTGAGGAGCACCGCTTCAAGGTGAGCGGGGCAGTGAGGAAGTGGCAGAACACAAGGGAAGGGGAGAGCGAGGAGAGAGAGGAAGATGCTGTGAGGCAGGCCGGTGGGAGGAACACAAACCGAAGTGGCCATAATGCTTACCATGGTGTTTCTTACACACGAGTCCTGAAAGCAACCTGTTCAGCTGAACTCACAAAGGGAAAAGGATTTTGGTTATGCAACACAGAACATCAGGTCTAACGTGTTAGCAGGCCTGCCATGTTGTGCACAGTGAGATTAGAACACGTGATTATCCACACGGTGTCTCCCCTCGCTTCTGGAAAGGAGAAAAGGAGCAGGCTGTGTGAACCAGATCACCTCGGCAGAGGGAGGAAGGTGGAAGAAAGTACCTACCCTTCAGATGGACTTCAGAGCTCAAGTTTTTTATTTTTGTTTTTTTTAACTGTTCTGGATTTTAATTTTCTTTCATTCTTTTCTTTTTTTTTGATTTTAAAAGTAACAAAAGATAGAAGACAGACCAGAAAAGAATATGCAATCTCCTGTTCCATGCAACACTGCAACATACAATATCTTTTTTTTTTTTTTTTTTAACTCAGAAGGAAATTGTGGTTTCTTTCATGAATCTTCCAAGAAATAATGGGGGCGGGAGGGAGGAGTTCCAGCACAGAAAAGTGTGGACACTCTTCTGCCTCATCTATAGACAGAGCCATATGATATGGCTATTTTAAAAATACTCTCCTTTTTGTTTCAGGTCCTTTAGAGTTTCTAGAATCTTTATCAGGAATCTCCAGGCGGTAGGGATTTGTTTTGGGGAATATTCTCAATCACCAGGGGTCCCCAGCCTACCCACGACCCTTCTCAATAACGTAAATACAGCTCAGGATTGCTGTGGAAATATTACTCATGAGCATATATTAGTTTGCAAAGACTGTAAAGTAGTAAATGGTTTGTATTTGAGGCTCTAAGTTTATTTCTTTGAAGCATTTTATGGGCAGAGAGGGAGACTGCTAAAAAGATTGTAATGTTGAAATGTTAATTGGGGCTAAAAGCACACAAAGAATGTAGCATTAAGGAAGATCCATCTGTTAAACCAGTGGGCTCAGAGTTTGGAGGTGAGTGGACTGACCCCACAGGGGACTTGGGGAGGACAGGACACTGTCTAAGGTGAGTGGGGAAACTTAAGCTTCCTATTATTAATGAGAGTTTTGAGCAAGTCAGGCCAAGAGGAGAAGCCTCACAGGCAGCTTCGCTGAAGGGCTGTGAAGGGTATCAAGGTGACCTTAATCTCTGGCAACTTCCAAATTCTCCCTTTAGGTCCCACAGAGCTTGGCTGTATTTCATTTGGGTGAAATCTCTGACCATTACAACACATCCAGCCACACTCCCATTTCTTTGAGTGAGTTGGACCGGCTCTCGTTTTCTTGTTCCCAGAAAAAAGGAGTCTCACTACTGAGTGACTCGAGATAACTACAGAATTTCAACTGAGTGTACTAACCCTCCTCAGGTGTCTGCTCATGCTCCCGGACACTTTTTTTTTTTTGTCTATTTCATGGAAACTAAGCATTAAGGAAAAACAAGAAATAAAAATAAAAACCAGCTCTAAATATACAGTAATTATGAAGAATAACACAACATTTTCAGAATAACTGGGGCCTGTAGAGGTCCCAAGATGACAATATAACTAGATCTTTTATCTATTATTTCTCAGATTTTGAAAAGAAAAAAGGAAACCCACAATGTCCATGTACATGGTATGTGTAGCAAGAAGATATACTTTTTTAAAATTGCTCATTTTATTGGGATATGAAAAATGGTAAATGATCACATAAATTGTGTGCTATTCAGAGTAGTAACAGTATGGCAATTTTAACTGAACAATTTCTAGAAAGCTAAACAAGTGCTTCTTGCTAAATATTCTACTCTAGTATACCACGAAAGTATTTTAAGTAAGATATTTTGAATGATTAAGAAGGAGAAACTACTTTCAAAATAAACTTCCTTTGAATATACATTATTTTGGTTTAAACTATGCTTTCTTTAAGAACATCATATTTTTAGGAGAAATATTAAAATTGGGACACATGAACACATCTTATGCTTGATCTAGTTGTTACCAGACAATAACCATCAACTTGTTTCTATTTCAGTGAAGGTTTCAAATTCACAGACATTTAGAAACATGCTGTTTCCATAGCAGCAAATAAAGAGTAAAACTAAAAAGATTTTATTGATTTTAACAAGGCTTAGAAAATTTATTCATCTTTTTAGCAGTGATTTTTGCTCTTTTTTTTTTTTTAGTCTTTAGCAACATCTCACGTTCTCTTTTCTAGATATATTTAGTAAATCATATAAATTTTGAAAAATAGATTAATTGTGACATTGCTGTAAAATTACCATTCTTATGATAATGTAGAATAGCCAGTATTTAATTCTTAGAGTAAAAGAGATACTGAACTATGGAGACCAGATGAGACATCAAATGCTCTAACCACATGCTACATCAGTTTAACATATGAATAAAATACAACATAGTCCAAATGCTTTTAGTTAATTCATGAAAGATTTAAAAAACATGGTATAACGTTTGCTGTTACCGTTAATTTATTAAGAAGCAGACACTGGAAATGAGGCTTTCAAACATCACTACTATAGCTACAAAATGCAAGTTTTTTCATGGCTAGTGGGGCAGTATGATGGTAGATAAGTGAAATCAGCAGTATAACTGTTCCAAGTTAACCTGCTAAGAAAATAGGACTTTGTTCTTTCATTTGCGTGTTGTTGAAGTTGTACGTTTTTCTGCCAATTATTCTGATATCTAAAACTTTCTATTTGTCAAAACACAAAGAAATGGCTCACCTGTAACAGACACACAGCCCAACGGTGCAATGAGAGTAATGGGGGCAAATCCATAGGCTGCAAAGTTGCCCGTCTCCCCAAAGGCCATGAGCACGGCCCCAGCCCACCACAACACGCTCTTGAAGTATGGCCGTGGGTGTTCCTGGTGTGCCAGCTGGACATGAGAATATTTCTGGAAGTAGATCAGAATGCCAATTAGAAAATATCTCTACGCAATTAAAACTTGCCCTGAAAATTTTTGGTCCTATGCATTTGCATCATGGCTTTTAACGTTTATTTGCAGGTTATGACAGAGCAATTACTATGGCTTTCTGCTTGTTCCAAACATATTAACTTCAGAAGTGGCTCCCATTGATGGAGAATTTTGTGGAGGAAAAGGCCTTCTCTCATAGGAATGTTGGTGAGTTCTCATGACTGTAAAATCAGTATCAGTCTTGCTCTCCAAAGATGAGGAGTATGTTAAGGAGTTAAGTGTCTTAACACTACTTTCAGAACGTTGAAAAAGTTCAGATGCCAAAACAAACATTCAGGAAATAAAAATAAGTTACTAAAGAAAAATCCTTTGAAAATGGATTCAAATGTCTGAGTCAAAGTAGCTACCACAATAAACATATCAAGGCAGAATGTTTTGATAGTAGGGGGTTGGGGTGGTAGATGCTTATTTATACCTGGTTTGAGTATTTGAAACATATATATTCATGGTCATTACATATAGCTCAATTTCCATATTGATTTTATGACAACCGAACTTGCTTTCTTATAAGAGTATATAAAATGCTAGATTATGTTTAAAAACTTAAAAAAATAATACAAGTACTAGAAGAAAACACAGAACATTAAAACATATTTTGATTTCTGCCAAGATTATGAATACCTCTGGTACAAATCTGCAGTAAAAATTCACATGCTACTAAGGCACCTTGCCTAGGATATGCAATACTATTAAGATGCTCACAAAAACATTCAATTTCTTTTACAATCAAAAGAAGAAAAGAAAATGAACGCAATCTAACCTAAGACATTTATGTCTTTATGTCAGTGAGGTCATAAAATATAATGGTTTAGATTTTTTGTGGAGGAAGGATCCCGACAGGACAAAAGTGCTTGAGACCCCTCAAGCCAGAATGTATCTCTGGATCCAACTACAGTTAGAAAAACAAACTATTTCTTACCTGAATATTTAGGGAAATACTGATTACCAGGTTTCCTAAAATGGCCAGCAAAACTCCAAAAAGGTGAATCTGTAAAAGAAAATGTTTTCTTTTTTCAATAACACTTGTAAGATATTTATTAAAACTACCCTCCCCCAAACAACAAAATTTAAATTGATACATTCACTCATTTGTTCAGTCATTCAGCAAATATTTACTTAGCACCCATTTGCCAGGGTCGTTTGGGTTATGAATAGTGGTTTTGTCAGAGTTTGGTTTTTTTCACTTTAGTCAAATATTATTCTTTAGAACTAGCTCAATCCTTTACGGAATTCTCTACATATTTGTTTAATTCACTAAAATAAAGAAAACAGCAGGTTCTGACTTTTTCTTTTCTTTTTTTTTTTTTAAATGTTTTTATTTATTTCTAGGAGAGAGAGAGAGAGAGACAGCGTGAGCAGGGGAGGGTCAGAGAGAGGGAGACACAGACTCTGAAACAGTCTCCAGGCTCTGAGCTGGCAGTCAGCACAGAGCCCGACGCGGGGCTCGAACCCACGAACCGTGAGATCATGACCCAAGCGAAAGTCGGACGCTCAACCAACTAAGCCACCCAGGCGCCCCTGGTTCTGACTTTTTCTAAGGTGCTTCTTATTTATCTTTTCTGTCAATTTTTCTCAGCAACCCCTCTGATTGGGGTGTTCGTTGCCTCAAGTATGGACTGTAATTGCTTTCCATCTGGTCTCCCTCTCTCCTTTCTCTTAATAGATTCTGGAGGACTGTGGTATGAAAGAAAGATCACTGGCCTTGGAGTTAAAGGATGAGTCTGAGATTCAGATCTACTTTTTTTTCCTTTTTGTTTAATGTATATTTTTTATTGGAGAGAGAGAGAGAGAGAGCATGCACGCATAAGCATGGGAGAGGGGCAGAGGGAGGGAGAGAAAGGGAGATAGAGGGAGGGAGAGAATCTTAAACAGGCTCCATGCCCAGCACAGAGCCAGATGTGGGGCTTGATCTCATGACCCTGAGATCATGACCTGAACTGAAATTAAGAGTCAACCACTCAATCGACTGAGCCACCCAGGTGCCCCAGATCTGCGATTTTCTAACAGGTAACTTTGAGCAAATTATTTCAACTCCCTGGCCTCAGTTAACAAGAAGATGTTGAATAAGATGTTTCCAAAATCCCTTTCCCTCTAAAATTCTATGATCTCCACTGGAGACAGACTGCATTTTCCCATTATTCCTCTGATCAAGAACCCACACTGTTTCTCTACAGTCAACCACATCGAATATAAAACTACTTTAGCAGCTCCCAATAAGCTGTCCTCATCCTGACCTTACAATTGTCCACAGCATATTTAATGTACCCTCTACCTCAGGTACCTGGTACATGACACTCTCCAATCAGTCACGATTTTGCTCCTGTCTCTTCTCTCCCCGAGAGAGAGCAGCACCCTTCCTCGGCCCATTCCAATTGTACTTCCCCCTCCTGGCCTGCTGGGGTCCCCCTCTTTGAGACCCGCTCAGGCCAGCACAGCCCATCCTTGCTTTCTTAGACCCTACATGGTAAGTGCCTTTATTTCTTCTTTTATATTGTCATGAGCATCATTAGTTCTATGAAGAGAACCTCATGGCAAATTGTCTAAGGGAAGAGAACCATGTCCTAGGCTTCTCTTGAATCTTCTCCATTATCTACTTTATAAAATTAAGGGCCCTTGAAAAATACTTGCTGGAAAAAGTATATAATGGTTTAAAACAAGAACTAAAAAGAGATTTTAAAAAAATGAGTGCTTGGAGTTCCTGGGTGGCTCAGTCAGTTAAATATCCAACTTCAGCTCAGGTCATGATCTAGCAGTTCGTGAGTTCGAGCCCCACATTGGGCTCTCTGCTGTCAGCACAGAGCTCGCTTTGAATCTTTTGTCCTGTTCACTCTCTGCTCTTCCCCCAATGGTTCTCTCTCTTTTTCTCTCTCTCAAAATAAATAAATAAACTTCAAAAATAAGTTTTTACACACTTTGGAAAATGTTTACTTCAAAAGATGCATTTATTGCTCCTATCAAGATAGTGTCATATTTTCTAGCAGTATAAATTAGCAAGGATATCAGGGGTCTCCCCCCTTCTTTTTCTACAGTACACAACTCCTAGCTAGCTTCAAATTCCAAGGAGTTATTTGAATTTCAAATGAGTATTATAACCACAAAGGAACTCTTTTCAGAATGCAAAATGGTTTTGAAGTTTTACAACTTTATTATATGTGCTGAAGTGAAATTCAGTGTTTTTAAAAAATGAAGCAGAAAAGTTGAAAACCAATTTAATAGTTGATATATAATATCCATAGCCTTTAATCAGTTAAGAATGTTCTTTTCCTAATAAAGGCACTTGGCAATAATTTTGATCACTATTCCTCATGGGGAAAAATCGTATCATAATTGTGCTATTTCCATGCTTTCAATTTATAATCGAATGCATTTGGCAGTAATCAGGAAAATAAAGTTTCATAAGAAGTTTGGGATTGAATGGATAATTGTGAAATCTTCCATAATTATAATGGTAAATTATAGAATAGAAATAACTTACTTCAGTACTTTAAATCATTCACTGAATAGTTTGAACACCACCAGGCTGAGTGTTTAGAAATTGGTAGCAAGATTTGGCAATGATTTCTTGGATATGAGACCAAAAGCACGCGTGTGCGCGCGCGACACACACACACACACACACACACACACAAGATAGATAAACTGTACTTCATTAAGAGTAAATTCTTTGTGCAACAAAGGACACTATTAACTGAGTAAAAGGTGACCTACATAACGTGAGAAAATATTGCAAATCATATATCTGATAAAGATTGATATCTTTACAGATATACAATTCAACAACAAAATTCAACTCTTACAATTCAAGAACAAAATTAACAACCCAGTTAAAAATGGGCAAAGGACTTGAATAAACATTCCTTCAAAGAAGATATACAAATGGCCAATAAGCACATGAAAAGATGTTCAACAGCACTAATGACTAGGGAAATGCAAATCAAAGTCACTGTGAGCTACCACCTCACACCCATTAGGAGAACTATAATAAAAAACAAAAACAAAAAACAGGGGTGCTTGAGTGACTCAGTCTGTTGAACATCCAACCCTTGTTTTGGCTCAGGTCATGATCACAGGGTTGCAGGATGGAGTCCCGTGTTGGATTCCACACTGAGCGTGCAGCCTGCTTAAGAGTCTCTTTCTCTCCCTCTGCCCCTCTCCCTCACTCGTGCTAACAAACGAAACAGAAAATAACAAGTGTTGGAAAGGATGTGGACATACTGGAACTCTTGGGGCACTGCTGAAAAGGATGTAAAATGGTGCAGCTGCTGATCATACACCACATACAAGAATTAACTCAAAATCAAAGACTTGAGAGCCAAAACTCTGAAATTCTCGTAAGAAACTATGAATAAGTATTTATCATCTTGCATTCGACCATGGATTCTTATAGATATCAAAGTCATAAGCAACAAAAGAAAAATAATTGGAACTTATTAACATTAAAAAGTTTTGTGTTTCAAAGGACACTAACAAGAAAGTGAAAAGACAACCCATAAAGTGGGAGAAAACATTTGGAAATCATATGTATGATGAGACTTGTATCTAAATTATATAAAGAACTCTTACAACTCAATAACAAAAAGAAAAATAACCTAATTAAAAATGGGCAAAGGATCTGAACAGCCATTTCTCCAAAGAAATGAATGTCTTCTCCAAAGAAGACAAATGGCTAACAAGCACATGAAAGAAAGGATGTCAACATCATTAGTCATCAGGTAATGCAAATTAAAAACACGGTGATATACCACTTCACACCAAATAAGATGGCTGTGATCAAAAAGTCAGATAATAAGTGTTGGCGAGGATGTAGACCAATCAGAAGCCCCATACACTGCTGATGGAAATATTAAATGCTGCAACCAGTCTGGCAGTTCCTCAAAAATTTAAGCATGGAATTTCCATTTGACTCAGCAATTCCACTCCTAGGCATATATCCAAGAGAAATGAAAATATATCTACACAAATACTTGTACACAAGTGTCCATAGCAGTACTATTCATAATACAGCCAAAAGTAAAAATGACTTAAATGTCTATCAACTAATGAATAAACAAAATGTAGCATATTCATATAATGGAATATTATTTATCCATAAAAAGGAATGAAGCGTAGATATGTGCTACAACCTGGATGAACCTTGAAAATGTTATGCTCTGTAAAAGAATCTAGCCACAGAAGACCACATGTTAAAGGATTCCTTTTATATGAAAGGTCCAGAGGAGGCAAATCTGTAAGTAGAGAAAGCAGATTAGTGGTTGTTTAGGGCTGGGGAGGATTCAGGGCTTGGGGATGACAGCCAAAGTGTGGAAGGTTTCTGTTTTTTTCCTTAATAATTTATTGTCAAGTTAGCTAACAAGCAGGGTAGTCTTGGCTTCAGGAATAGATTCCCATGATTCGGGGCGCCTGGGTGGCTTAGTCGGTTAAGCGTCCGACTTTCGCTTAGGTCATGATCTCACGGTTCGTGGGTTCGAGCCCCGCGTCGGGCTCTGTGCTGACTGCCAGCTCAGAGCCTG